CAACGGGACACCACGGGACACCACGGGACACCACGGGACACCGCGAGCCACCGCCGGACGGACCCGGACGGACGGGCGGGCGGGGGAGAATCAGTTGTCTTGACTTCGCCCTAGCAACGGCGGACACCACGGGACACCACGGGACACGGCGGGACACCGAGGGCCACAGCTGGACGGGCGGGAGGGGGAGAATCAGTTGTCTTGACTTCGCCCTAGCAACGGCGGGTTCATTCCTCTCGCGCGCCCACGCAGATTCGCCTCGCCCGCACGCACGACACGAACGGAACGAAACGAACGTTCCACTGCGATCTCACCCCCCAACCTCCGAACTACGCGGTCGCACGGATACACCCCGCACGGGGCACCCGCGACAGAACGCCCCGTATATACGCGGGGTCGCCCGGCCCGTGTGGCCGTGGGCACGCACATGCTGTGTTCGCCCACGGGCACCGGCTCGCCCCAGATGAACACGAGAGGTCCCAGCGGGGCCTCGATGTCCAGGGGCAGGAGCAGCGAGCGGCACGACAGCTGCCACCCCTCCGGCGTCTCCGCCGTAAGGTTGAAGGGCCTGGGGCGCGAGTAGTCCTCCGGCCCGACCCGCACGACGTGGTCGCCGAGGTCGAACTCGATGTCCTTCCCCTCTACAGCGCGGCAGTCCTGATGGGCAGATTTCCCATTTCCCAGCACCACTACCTTAGGTAGGAGAGGGAGGAGGAGGAGGAGGAGGAGGAGGAGGAGGAGGAGGAGGAGGAGGAGGAGGAAGCCTTCCCATTCTCCCTTCTCCCCCGTCCTACCTACGGTGGTGGTGGTGGTGGGAAATTGGCCCATCAAGTCCATCCCTTCCGCGTCGGCGCCTGGCGGCGGCGTCCGGGCGAGCAGGCGCTGCATCGGCCGGGAGACCTGCGGCGGCACGCAGGGGGGCGAGCGGCCGGGGCCAGGGGAGAGGGGGGGGCGGCCGTCTCGGGGCGAGCGCGCGAGCCGCCACCGCCGAGGGGCCCAACGGACCAGGATCCGCAGGCACCCCTTGCGGCGACTCCTGAGGGTTTATGCTGCACCGTCGGGGGACCTCGTCTCTCCCGTCGCGCCCCTGTCCGCGGACCCACGCCAGATCCGCGTCGAGTCCGCATCGAGCCCGCGTCGGGCACAAAACAAGACACCAATTTGGGGGACAGGCGAGGTCCCCCGAAGAGGCAACGTAAGAGGGCGTGGTCTGCAGAGGGTGCGCTTTTTGCTGCCCTCTCCTCGAACACGAGGCCCACCTCCCAGAACTATTTTCGAGCACCGAGAAGGAGAGCATCGAGGCAGTGTCTGCCCGACACGCTGGCGAAATGTCGAACGAGTAGCGCCTCCCAGAGCCCGACACGTGAAAGACCTGCAATGTGTGTGTACTTTCCTGGTGCTCGAAATTCTTGCTGGCGATCAAAGATCAAGCAGGTTGGAACATCATACGATATGGCTTGCAACCCGCACCCCAGGGGGCCGGCGAGGAGCTCGACAGAGTTCCCCCGAGGAGGCCCGACGAGGGCAACGTGGTGCCCCTGAAAGCCCCAACGGCGCCGATCGCAAACCACACCCCGGCGTAACCACACCCTTTGTAGTCGCCGACCCTTGTCAGGGCCATAAGGCTGTGAGGCTCAGGTTTCTGCACCATGCAACCGGTCCTCGGCTTCTTGGTCCCAGTACCAGCGCAGTTCCTCTGTTGCTTGGTGTCAGATGCTATGGATCATTTTCCCTGGCCCCAAGGTGGCACGGTTAAAGAACGCGCGATCCCCGCAGCCGAAAAGGATACGGCTACCCTCTCGGAATCACGCCCGAAGAGCACCTGGGTGCCCTGGGGCACGGACCAAGCAGAGGTGCAGGCTCCTCGGGCCACAGGTAGCTTCAAAGCACGGCTGGCGCGTGCTCCCAGGGCCGCAACCTTTGCACACCACAGATGGCAAGTCTGCGCCCCCCCCCTCTCTCCCGCGGCCACGGCCCTTCGTAAAGTGCCACGTGCGCGCGCCACCGAGGGCGCAATCCCTTCCAAGTGACGACGCACGCGCGCCTCCGACGCCCCCCCCCCCACTGTAAGTTCAAAAAACGCGCGCCCCCGGCGCCACAGCCCCGTGTAGATTACCTCGCGTGCGCGCTCCCGAGGCCACAGGACCTCGCGAGTTGCGACGCATGCGAGCTCCCAGAGATACACCCCTGGGAAATTGCAACACACACTCGCTCCCGAGGCCACCATCCCTTGTAAATGTTCGACTCGCCGCGTGTCCCCTTATCAGCTCATCCAGAAACGATGCCCATGAGAGTTGCTTGGATTTGAAGGAGGGGGGAGAATGAGGAGGAGAGCAAGGAGGAAGATGACCAGGAGGAGGGGGGAGAGTGAGGAGGAGGATGACGAGGAGGACGAGGAAGAGGAAGGAGGGAGAAGGCGAGGGAGGACCATGAGGATGCCATCCGGGGCTACCGAGAGCCATCTGGGAACTATGCTGGGCCCCTGCAAGGCCCGGGAGGGCGGGGGCGGAGCCCGCCAGCCACCTCGGCGGAGATGGTCGAGGGCGCTTCCTCGTCCAGCCCCCCTCGTCCCCGTCGGGGAGGGGCTTGCCGCTCCTACTCCCCCTCCTCCCCTCCCCGTGGCCCTGGACGAGAGCCGAGCGAACGAGGCCGAGTTTTAGACTTAGGTCGGGCCTGTCCTCCTACAGGCTGATGTTGAAGACAAATTGATAGTTGTCACAAAACTATCCAACAATAATTCAAAACTAATGGGAAAAAATCGTCCCCCGACTATTTTTACTATTTTTGAATACCCCTCCTGTAGAGGGACAGGTCCGACATAATTTCAGACCCACTCGAGTCCAGACCCGAGCGCTGAAATGTAGCGGGCTTGTGTGCCTCAAAAACTCCGTCACGCTGCGCTGCTGCGCTGGCAATGGTGCCAACGCCTGCCGCGGGAAACCGGATGCACTCGGCGGCGAGCCCGGGGGAGAAGCGAGAGGGGGCGGCCCTTCTCGGAAGGCTCCGAAGCGGCCTGCCCTTCTTAGAAGTGTTCGGCGCCTTCCCCGAAGACGCTGGAGTCTTCTCAGACGGCCCGAGCGCTTCTGAGAAGCAGGCCTTCTCCTTCTCACTTATCCCCCTCGCTCGCCGCCGATGTACATGTGTTGGCTTACTTCTAAGGAGGGGACTTGGGATGGGGGGGCGCATGGCAGCCTGCGCGGTGCGTGCTGGTTTACTCTGGTATGGGTCCTCGTCCTCCACCTCTTTTCCCAGCGGAGACTCAACAGAGGGCACGAAAGAAGCATCCAGTTCCTGAGTTCACCTAAGAAATAATTCGCGCGCAAGTGGGGGGCAGGGAGAGGACCGAGAGACGTTCGCAGAGCAGGCGCCTGCTTCACAGGTCCGTCCGTGAGGGGCATGGTGCGTCCCTCCTCCTCCAACTCCTCCATGCAGGACCCACAGGGCATGCTCACGAAAAGGCAGGCACATGCGAAGGCCGGGCGACGACGTTGCGCACAAACCACGCTACCAAGCCAGAACGTTTGGTGTCTCGCCCCTGCAGGCCCGCTGGCGAGGCAGGGGTGCCCGGAAAGAGTCGTCGACCCCACACCTCGGACAAGCCGTCGCGCCTGCATACAGAGATCGCGCTGCGGCGCACGGGAACACCAGGCATGACTGCAAGCCAGGGTGTCCCGACGCAAACCTCTCGGAGGTCCGCACCAGCCCGCAAGATGCGGAGGACGACGACGAGGACGACGAGGACGACGACGACGACGACGACGACGACGAGGACGAGGACGAGGACGAGGACGAGGACGAGGACGAGGACGACGACGACGACGACGACGACGACGACGACGACGACGACGACGACGACGACGACGACGACGACGACGACGACGACGACGACGGCTTCCTCAAAGGCGGGAGGGCTTCTGTGAGGCCCCCCCCTCAAGAAGCCGGGCCCCCCCTCCCTGCGCGCCGCCGGGACCTGGCGTGGCACGCCCAACAGCGAAGTGCCGGTGTCTAGGATCGCCCGGCACCTGCCACCCTCGCAGTCCTCGATGACCTCGCCCCCGATCCGCACTGACTTGATCTCCACCTGTTGGCGGCGCGCACTGGGGGGGTTAGGGAGAGGGGGGAAGGCTTCTTGGAAGGAGGCTGCTTCTTAGAAGGCGCGGGCCTTGTATCTAGAGGCAAGGCCCGCGCCTTCCAAGAAGCAGCCTCCTTCCAAGAAGCCTTCCCCCCTCCCCCTACCCCCCCCCCCAGTGCGCGCCGCCAGACCTGAGCGGCGAGAAAGACAAGAGATCCTGCGCAGGAGACCCTTTTTCATTCCCCCTCCCGTAGCGTCCGCTGCGGGGAGAGGGATTTTTTGGGGGGGGTCGGGCCTGCGAGCGCCACAGCATGCTCGTCATTACCAAAGCATGCAAAGCATGCCTGCCAGCACCAGAGCAGGCCTGTGGGGGAACCAGCCCCCCCCCCACACGTAATCCGTTCGGCACCGTCACGGGTCACGGGGAGGGAGGGGGGAGGGGGGGCAACTCCCCACGACGGACGTTGCGGGTTCACCGAGTCAAAAAAACAATCTCCAGGACGGCGCGGCGACCCGGCCTGCGCGGTGGCTCACGCAGGCCGCCGGCGCGGCGTAGATCGCGACCTAGCGGAGAGGGAGGGGGGCGCGCGAGACCTCACGCGGGCGGCTTGCGCGCGCACGTCCGCGCAGTCCCTGTGCCTGAGGATCTGTGAAAAATCCAAACCCCAAATTCTCAAATCTCCCGGGCTTCCGGGACGCCCGGTGCGTCTCCGCACACCACTTCGTCGGGCCCCATAGCGGCCCCGCTTTTTTTTGCCTGCGCCGCCAGCCTGCCAGTAGCCCAGCTCGGGCATGGCCACCGGCGTCCAGCGCAGCGCGGAGGCGGCGCGCTCCGGCTGGTGGCCGCCAAAGGAGATGGTGCTGAGGCTCTCGTCGTTCCGCGCGAGGAAGACCGAGAACTGGGGCAGCATGCTCGGCTGCTGCCGCGTCATCCTCGGGAGGGAGGAGGCCGCGTCACAAACATCGACTCTCGGAGCTCCGCGCGGACTTCTTGGATCGGCGCTGGGCACCCGCCCTCCCCTCCTGGTTCGCGGAGCGAGCCAGGCGCGGCGCCAGAGGCGCCACCAGGGAGGCCCAGGCGCTGACCGTAGAAGTCTGCGCGGAGCTCCGAGAGTTCATTGTGAGCGTTTTCTTACTCGGCGTCTGGGCATTGAGCTGAGGGGGGGGGGAGGGGGGGGTCTGGCTCCGGGCCTCTGCTCAGAGAGACTGCTTGGAACAGTGCTCCTGTGGGGAATCCTGCGGGGAGCCGTCCCCCTGCTCGAAGCAGGCGCCCACAACAGCCAAGATCTACTCCACGGGGGGGGAGAAGAGGGGGGGGGCGAGGGCCCGCGACGATGAGCAAAACGATGGATAAGACAACGATCACATGTTCATGCCGACTTGTCTTGCCTCGGGTCCTCCCGAAGAAGCTGAACTCGGGATTCTAGAAAAAGAAAAAACAAATAAACACAAACTGTTGGCGCGCCGCGCGGATTTCTTGGGTCCGCGCCGGACCCCCCTCCCTGGCGCGCGGAGCGCGCCAGGAGCGGCGCCGGAGGCGCCGCCAGGGAGGCCCCAGGCGCGGATCCAAGAAATCCGCGCGGAGCGCCAAAAGTCTATGCTTATGGCGTTTTTCTTCTTCGAGGATTCAGCGCCAGCGCGTCGAGCCCGAGCCCGAGCACGCCGTCGAAGGCGAAGAGCCCGAAGGGCTCCGCGGACATCTCGTTCGCGAGCACCACCCGCATGGTGCTGCAATCCTCCGGCCGCGGCCCCAGGCACACCTGAAGGGGGCATCTACTGGGAGGTCCTCGTCGGAAGGATTAAAGCGAATGCAGCCCCATTGGGGGGCTGCTACTCCGGATTAGGCCGCGGATGAAGCGGGATCAAGCCAGACTCAGCGGGATTAAGCGTGATGAAGCGGGATGGGGCGGGATGAAGCTGGATTTCGAACCAGAGTAAAATCAAAATTTGACCTCCCAGGAGTTGCATCCGAGCACGCCTGGTCCTCCGCAAACTCGCCGACGACCTTGCCCGTCCCGAACGTGATCGCCAGCTGGTCGCGCTGGCTCTTGTCGACGCCTGCAGGGACCAGCTTGCCGTCGTGCTCGATGTCCACGCTCGTCCCCGACATCGAGCGATTGTACAGCCGGTGCTTTGCGCAGGTCTCGCTGTCGCAGCCAGTGCATGGGAGCACGAGGTGCGCGGATCCCGTGTCGAAGACCACGGTGAACTCCTGAGGCTCTGGCGCGCCAACCGATATGTTGCCAAAATAGGAAGTCTTGTACGCGATGACCGCGCCGTTCTTCTCTATGGGCACGTATTGCTTCCTCAGTGCCACGGTAAGGAGGCCCGATGAACCAATCGTCACATTGTCCGGGGCGCCTGAGGGCGCCCCGGCGCCACTGGCGATCAAAGAAGCGAAGATGACGATGCAGTTAACCGCATACATTGTGAACGTACAAGTAGAATTTAGAACTTGGCGGACCGTGATCGTGGGCTGAGCCAGCACTTGAGCTAAAACGGGCACGCACGGACCCCAGGCGTCGTGATGTCTCCGCAACCCTCCTGTGCATGTGGGTCCTCGTTGAAAAGATCGTTGCGCCGCGCGCCTCCTTCCTCCTCCATCCTTCTTCCATCCCTTTGTCTTAGAAGTAACTCCTCCCTGTCGCACCCCGACACGTGTCAGTAGGCGGGCCGGGCGTTTCGCCTGAGACTTCCTTACCAGTATGATCCTTCAGGTTACCCATCGGTCGGAAGAAGTAGGTAGAAACATGAAGTAGGACGGCGTTGAAAGTAGATTGGGTGTCCGCCCGCCCCCGAAGGAGGACGGAAGAGGTGAAGCCACCCGGTCATTGAAGTACGAAGGCACTTAAAGTAGACTGGAACCGGGGAATCCAAAAATACCTACTTTCAACGACCGACGGATATGATCCTCAGGGTTAGAACGTGCAAGAGCTCCACGCAGGGAGGGCGGGCGGTTCTCGGGATGCGGCTCTCGCCTCAGCGCCGCGGCGCACACTCGTCTCGAAGATTCGCAAGAGCTGCACGGATGGAGGGCGGGCGGTTTTCAGATGTGGCTCTCGCCCCCGAGCCGCCCACACTCGTCTTCAAAGTGTGCAAGACATTCACGGAAGGGGGGGGGGGCTCCTTTTCAGAATGTGCCTTTCGCGCCAGCGTCGCGCGCATTCGTCTCGAAAGTTTGCGAAGGCTTCACGGATATGGTGGCCGTGTTCTTCTTTGTATGAATCTAGCCGTAGCGCCGCGCACATTCGTCTCACTCAAAGTCTGCCAGAGTAGAGGGCGGTTCCTTTTCAACATGTGATTCTCGCATTAGCGCCGCGCGCACTCGTCTCAAAAGTTCGCGAGAGTTTCGCTGCTGAGGGGCGGCTCCTCTTCAAGATGCGGCTCTCGACTCATCGCTGGCACATTCGTCCTCCAGGTTCGCAAGAGCTTCGCGGACGGAGGGCGATGGGTTTTCAAAATGCGGATCTCGCCCTGGGGCCGCGCACTTTCGCCGTTATACATGCTGCAACACATGTTCACGGATGGGTGGCGGTTCCGTTTCAAAATGCGGCTGTCGCCTTCGCGCTGCGCAACTTCGCCTTCAGAGTCTACAGCCGTTTCTAAGCGTAGTATGGCTGACGTCCCAGACATTTGTTTTCGCACGGTGTAGGACTGCCAAGGCAACCGTCACGTTGACTCGCGGTGCTGCAGTCCCAAAAGTGGTGTTCTGGCACGACTCGGGCTCGCCAAGACGCAACAGTAGCGTTGACTCGCGGCGCTGACGTCCCAGGAATGGTGTTTTGGCACGGCTCGTGCTTCCAGCGATTGACCTCGAATGGGACGCGTCCAGAAGTGAAAACACATTCTGTTGGGATCTCAGAAGTAGAAATTTGGAGGGAGGGTTGATTGCATCATCGTTGATGGATATTGAATTTGCACTGGTCCTCCTCCTGCTTCTCCCGCCTTCCCCTCCCCACTCCTGCCTTCCACTCCCCACTCCTTCGCCTCCGCCTCCTCATCCTCCCCGTCTCCTCCCTCCTCCACACAAGCCCTCACTCACAAGGATCGTGCTCCACAAGGGCCTCCACTTAAGTCGCTGGCATTGTTCACTGGTGTACAAGTGATCTGTATACTAGCTCTGGGTTCGAAACAAGGGAGCCAACGATGCTAACAACGTAATGGACAACCATGACCCCCGCCAGCGGTGGTCGGAAATCTGCGAGACTCGAAAACAATAGCCCGCCGCAAACGCTAAGTTCCCATACGCTACAAAACAAGCCCACCGCAACAACGAATTCTTTCGTCGAAGCAAATGGGTGGGTCGCGGGTGGGTCGTCGCGGGCGGGTCGCAGGTTGGTCGCGGGTGGGTCGCAGGTGGCGAGTGGGTCGCGGGCGGGCCGCGGGCGAGGACGACGACAACAAAATGAAAACAACAACAACAACCATTTTAAGGCTCTTCGCAATTAGCTGTTCGCGTGTCGTCAAACATGTATATCCCAAACCCTGTATACCCGCCCTCTTCGTCTTCGATGATACCCCCTGAAGGTATATCTTCCTTACCTGCCACGTGTAGTTGACGCAGCCCCAACAACAAGGGAAGGGAAGAGACGGACAACGGGGAGAGAGAAGGATGGAGCCCTATATACATATATCTATATATATATATATATATATATATATATTCGCAGGAGCGGGGTTAGGAGAAAAGCACACGGCTGAACCAGACCGGCGGGTCGGGCGGGTCGGAGTGGGCGACGGTCGAAGACGGCCAGGTCGAGCGGGCGGGCTGGTGAAGCGTCAGTCCTGCACGAATCGCGAGGAAGTGTTTAGCCATAGCGTGATTCCTAAAGGTTGGGGGCGCGGCATTTCAATACATTGCGAGGAAAAACCACGCGAAAGTGCGACTCCTTTAAAGCCTGTGACGAAGTCCCGCGCGAAAGCGAAACTTTGAATAAATCGCGAAACAGACATACAAAGCGGGAGCCGTTGTTCGTGTTGTTGTTGGTGGTGGTGTTAATGCTGTTGAACTCTAACTACTGAAGAATAATATTCTTGATCCCCCCTCCGGTGACCATTGGATGTTTCAATTGAAGTGCGCCCCCCGGGGCTCGCACCCTGCTTTTGATCATGGAAAATCACTGGTCTCGAACTGGGTTGTTGGCCCCCGGTTTACAACAACAGCGGCTGCCGCCTGATATTTCCTCACAGTTTATTCCCTAATCGCGCTCTCGCGCGGGACTTCCTCACATTGTGTATACTAATCGCGCTCTCGTGTGGGACTTCCTAGAAGCTTATTCAGAGGATGCGCCCTCGGCGCTCAGGAATCACGCTCTCGCTTTCGCTTCTCCTACGATTTACTTGGGAATCGCGCTATCGCTCGAGACTTCCTCACGATTCATGCATGACCCACGCTTCAGCAACCCGCCTGCTCGACCTGGTCGCCTGTGCCCGCCTTCCCGACCTCCCCGCTATGGGTCTGCCCACCCGGTCTGCCAGTCTGGTTATACCACTTGTTTTCTGTTCATTGCCCCCTTCCTGCTAATTTCTCTCGTGGTCCAAAATTTCCCCTCCCCTTTCACCCGTCTTCTCTTCCCTTGTTTAAAGGGTTCGGCAAATGCACGTGGCAGGTAAGGTAGATATACCCCAAGGGGGTACGATCGAAGACGACGAGGGCGGGTACCGAGATGTTGAGATATACGTACCGATCGGCACGCAAACAGATAGGAGCGAACAGTGGTGGTGGTGTTGTTGTTTTCGTTATTGTTGGCGTGGTTTATGTTGTTGCTGGTGTTGCTACTGCTGTTGTTGTAAGCTGGGGGCCAACACCAAATCTGAGGCTCAAAACCTTCCGGTTAAAATTAGCCTGGCGAATGAACAAACCATGTGCAGTTGCGAGCGCAGTCGTTATGAGTATCGCCTTCGGTGGAGCTCCATGTGGGCCACGAAACGCGTGAAGGGAGTGCCGAAATGGGTGGGGCGGCCGCAAGCGCACAAGGCCACTCGGCCTTCAGTGGAGTTCCCTATGGGACCACGAATTAAGTGAGGGGTGTGCCGAAAGGGCGGGGGTTCGCATCCAGACTGCGCCGCTGGGACCTTCGGTGGAGCTCCCTATGGAGCCACGGAACGTGTGAGGAATGTACCGAAATCGGCGAGGCGGACGCATACAGGCTGCGCCACTCGGGCACGAAACGTGCGAGGGGTGTGCTCAGTGGGGCAAGCGCATGCGGGCTGCGCCACTGGAACCTTCGGTGGACTTGCCTGTGGGGCCACGACGCATGTGAGGTGTGTGCGGACATGACTGGGGCGGACGCATGCGGGCTGCGCCGCTGGGTCCTTCGGTGGGGCTCCCTCTGGGGCCACGAAGAGTGTGAGGGGTGTGCCAACATGTGCGCGGGAAAGCATGGGGGCTGCTATATTCAGGCCGTCGGTGAAGCTCTCCATGCGGCCACGAAACGAATGAAGGCTGCGCCATTGGGTCCTTAGGTGGAGCTCCCCCTGAGACCACGAAGCGTGTAAAGGGTGTGCCGACATGGATGGCGGATCGCCTGCGGGCGACGCCACTTGGACCGTCGGTGGAGTTCCGTATGGGGCCAAGAAACGTATGAGGGGTGTGCCGACATGGGTGCGGGACCGCATGCGGGCGGCACCAATGGGGCGTTGGATGAAACTCCCTACGGGGCCACGAAACGTGCGAGGGGTGCGCCGACATGGGTGCGGGACCGCACGCAGGCGGCACCCTGTGGGCCTTGGGTCGAGCTCCTCGTAGGGCCACGAAATGTGTGATGCGCGTGCCGAGATGGGTGGCGTTGACGCATGCGGGCGGCACCATGTGGGCCTTAGGTGGAACTCCCTGTGGGGCCACGAAGCGTGTGCAGAAAGTATCGAAGTGGGTTCGGGACCGCACGCGGGCAGCACCATTTGGGACTTCCGTGGGGATCCTCATGGGGCCACGAAGCGTCTGAGGGGTCTGCCGACATGGGCGCGGGACCGCATGCGGGCGGCACCAAGTGGGGAATGGGTGGAAATCCCTACGGGGAAACCGAGCGTGAAAGGGGTGCGCCGGCATGGGTGGCGGGACGCATGCGGCCAGCACCCTTCGGGCTTTGGGTCGAGCTCCTCGTGGGGCACGAAGCGCGTGAGGGGTGTGCCGACATGGATGGCGGGGGCGCATGCGGGCGGCACTATTTGGGCCTTCGGTGGGGCTCCCTATGGGGCCACGAAGCGTGCGACATCGGTTGCGGGGACGCGTGCGGGCGGCACAATGTGGGCACCGGGCGGGGCTAGCCACGGGGCCAAGACAAACGTGACGGGGCGTGCCGACATGGGTGCGGGACCGCTCGCGGGCAGCACCCAATGGGGCCTTGGATGGAGGTCCCTACGGGCCCACGAAACGTCCGACACGGGCGCGGGACCGCACGCGGGCGAACGGAGGAGACGAGCGCAGAGGGAGGGAGCCCACCTCCCACCTACCTCAGACCCAGGCCCTGCACCCCGACGGGCGGCGGGGCAGGCGGCAGCGGAGGCCCGGCGGCCTCGGCGGCCGCGCCCCGCGACGCGATCGCGCCGCTGGACAGAGCCGCTCTTTCAATCGGGGGGGCGACAAGGGAGGAGGGGGAACGCCGCGCTAAAGCACAAGCAGGACTCGGGAAGGACGGACGAGGGGAGACGCAAGCCGAGGAGCCGATCGGCTGAGCAAAGTTAGAATTACCGCGGCCCGCACAGAGCGGAAGCTCCGCACATGGGAAGGACCGGCGAGCAGCAGGCGAAGCAACCCGGGGAGACAAAAGGTGGCGCAAACTCGAAGGGCGCGGCCGAAAATAATCGGGAGCACGGCTCAGGTGGCACGCTGAACACAGACAGTGATCGAGGGGAGAAGCAGGCGGGGCGCAAGCATCAGCACGCGCAGCAATCAGGAGCGACGGAAAGGAGGGAGGAGAGGGCCGCGCGGTCGGAGCCAGCCGCGCGGGCGAAGAGCAGCGGGAGATGGAGGGGGGCAGGTGGCCGCGAGACAACTGCGGCAAGGGCGGCCCGGAAGAGTTCGCTGCCCTGGCCACTGGAGTCGCGCAGAAAATCCGACCCGAAGGCAGCGACCGAGCAGCGTCGACGCAATCGGCGGCGACAGGGTAGCTGCCATCGATCCACTCGTGGCCCCTCGCGTCGCCAGGGCAATCCGAGGCGAGAGCGCCATCGGCGAGGTCAGCGCAAGACGACCCGCTGGGCACCCGCGGAGAGGACAACATATCAACAGCCGCTCTGGCCACGCCAAAAGCCCATCGGCACGTGGCGACGCAATGCCCGAACACGACAGCGGGGTTTGCGATCGAACGCCGTCGGGGCCACCAACGCCGCCATTCCTTCCAGCACGTGGCGACGGCGAGCCCAAAAGCGACGACGGGACTTGCAATCCAACGCGGACGCCTCCCTCGCGGCCGGCATTTCCTCCGGCGCGCGGCGACGGCGAGCGCGAGCGCGACTGCGGGGCGTGCGATCTAACGCCGACGACATCCTCGCTGCCATCATTTCCTCCTGCAAGTGGCGACGTCGAGCCCAGACGCAACGACGGGATTTGCGATCCCGCGCCAGAGGCGGCCCCTCTAGATCTGACAAGCTCATCCGCCACTTCGTTGGCCAGTTCCCATCCACGCGACGCATTGGGCGACGCGGGCGAACATGCGTGGGGATCAGCAGTGACCAATGACCCAGTCAACCTCCTCTGTGGAACTGCTCGGCGGCGAGTCAGGTAACGCGGGGAGCTCGTCGACCACGCCCCAAACGCCCGCGCCGATCCTCGAGGCAATCTCCGCCGGGCAAATGGCAGAGCCCCCCGAGAAGACCGCGGCCCGCTAGATGATGATCTCGAACGCGAAGACACAGAAGAATATGACGGAGAATATCGCGACGAAGAGGGGCGTCTGCCACTGCGGGTCCGCCAGTCGCGCCGCCGCAGTCGACCGCTCTCTGCTTCAGATGGAGCATTTGGGCGAGCCATCAGTCGAACCCCAGCGAGCGCACATGAATCGAGGGCAACATTAGACAAATGCCAGCGGTCACCCAATCTCGTCTGGTTGCACATAGCATAGACAGCCGCCAGAAATAAGCAGTCCTCGAGGCACGGGCACCATAGACCCCATCGGCGAAGAACAGGGGCGGGGAATGGGCGGGCAAGCGCGCGACGGAGGGCGGCGTGCATCGGGCGGCAACGAGCGCAGTGACAAACAGCGCCTCGGGCATCCCATCCACAAGCACACTGGCGCTGCCCCAAGGGGGGGGGTCCTCGCAGGTGCCACCCACGCACCCGTCCACGCGCGCAGCGACGCCGCGCCCAAGCGCACGGGCACCGCTTCAGCTGGCCGGCGACAAGATCCCAGTCAAGCAATCGGATCACCCTCGCATGCCGAGGCAACAACTTACACCATCGACTCCCCAGCAACTTGAACAACCGGGCATCGCGGAAAGGGGAGGCGCGAAGTGCGACGCGAGCCGCGAACAGAGGACGAGGCCGACGGCCAGGAGGTGCACGCCCCCCTGCACTGGCCACCTCCATCGGCGCGAGAGAGGTGGGCGGACGAGCCGCCGCACCCGCCCCAACCGCCTCCAGAAACTCCGCGAAGGACTCAGCACGCCAGAAACTGGGGCACGCGCGCCCTTTGTGAAGCATGCGCAAAATGTTCCAATAATCTCGGCATGCCACATGGAGTCGCACCCCGGCCATCACGCGGCGGCAGCCAGGGAAAGCGCGAAGGGCAGCACGAGCAAGCGACGAGACCCCCAGGAAGCCCCAGCGAGTCATGCGAGGACCCGCGCACACGGCAACTCCCCCCCCAGGCAACCAAAAAGAACGCTCCGAGTTGAACTCGGAATACTTGAGCAAGGACAGGCAGCTCCACCTTCAACGTCGCGGCGCGGACATGGGCCGGAACAGGGCCACGTAAAAGAGCGTGAGAACCGCCCTCGTGCAATTGAAAATGGCCGAGGCACTGGCAGGGGCAACGCCGCGGCCGACGGCTCGAGCTCGCAGACATAATTTCGCCGAACACTTCCGCATATCAGCTCCAGGGCCCAACCATAATCCCGGGTTTTGCAGCGCGTCGGCGACCTCGAAGCCAGCCCACTCGGGGGCCAGGTTGCACGGGGCAGCGGCGACCGCCCCAGACAGCTCGGCCGAGAAAGGGCCCGACAACAGCACCGCGTGGCACTTCGCCACCTGGGGGCGCAAACTCGCCACGGCCTCGGCCAACATCACGATGCGATAGCTCTCGCGCAAGTCGGGCACGGCCCGCGCGGCGCCGCAAAGATCATCGGCACAGGCCCTCACGAGGCCAATGTCCTGCAGCCCAATCGAGGCCGCGATGTCCCGCGAGAAGAAGGATGGGCGAACGGGGGGCCCCACGAAGCATCTCCATGGCTGACCCCACTTCGGATTCAAAAAACGCAGCGAAAACCCCACGCGCAGATGTGGGGCCCTCGACGGCGGCAAAGAGGAAGCCCAAATACCAATAATAACTGGGGGCAACTTCAGAGCCTCAAGCACATGAAACCATGCAGTCCTGATTCAGGAGGGGGAAGGCCTGGCCGGAATCCAAGGAGAACAAGAGCGGGGTGCCCAGGGACTGCAGGGGGGCGACGGACAGCGCGCGGGCGAATCCGCCGATCTCGATGGCGTTCAAGCCGAGATACCCCCGCGGCACGAACCCTCGCTGGTTCGTTGGGGCCGCGCATTCTAATGCATGACGCAGCACCCCATTCATCGCCACTGACAGCAACTGAATGCCCGTGCTTCGCAAACCCAAGAACCTCGCATTGCCGCGGTAGCGAACGCAGCCTCCTTCGCGCGGCTCCGCCTCCGAGAGGCCTCCGGGGGGAACGCCGGCAGCGCGACGCCGGCCGAATCGAAGAGAGCCTGCCCCGACCCAATCAACCGCGGAGCATTCCAGGGCACAGCTACGCCGGGGCGGCCCGCGGCCCGCGCGGCACGCGGCGCCCCATCGACGCGCGCGGCATAGACCGCAGCCGAGCGAATAGCACGCCGAATCACACGAACAGACGGAGGAGGGGGCACAGCAGACTCGACCGACGGCAGCCATTGCTCGGCGCACTGAGCAGCGGCCTCAGCCCCCCGCGGCTTCTTCGAGGAGATCTGCGCCCAGCGGTCATCGAGCGCTCGGGCGCGCTCGACAGGGTCGGCGATCGTCGCGGCGGGCGACGCAATCGCCGCCGCCAAGGAGACGCGCTTCCAACAGGAGACCGCACGCGAGCTTCACGCTCCAACGCGCGAGCCTGCATGCGGAGACGACGCGCGTCACCTCCTCGCCTGCGCCTCGCCTCAATCTCCGCGCGCAGCGCATCCAGCGCCCCCCCCTGGATTCCGGGCGACCACCCCTGGGGCGGCGGCGGACGCGCGTCGAGGCGGGGCCGGCGACCGCGAGATCTCCTGGCAGTCCGAGACGACAGGGTGGGATTCGAGCATGCGACGAGCCAGGCGCGAAGATTGGCGCCGCGAGGCGCTCGCAATCACGCGGGCAACCTGAACCGAGGTCGAGGGAGAAGGGGCGTTGACCGAAATAGCTGATCACAGGCCTCAGCACCCGCGATCCTCAACAGCTTCTTTTAATGTTCAATCTGGCATGGCGGCGACATACTTTCCCAATCAGAAACCCCAGGGGGGCCACGAGGCCGAGCACGGAAGGCGGGGTCGCGACAAGGGTGCCCGGGGCGGGGGCGCCGAGCAAGGGGGCGGGCATGGCGCGGGAAAAACAGGACAACCACTGCGTAATGATATGAAATCTTCTCGTCGAACACCCCCTCGGCCAAGCCCGCGGTCGCCGCGGAGATGCGAAGCCGGCGGGCCCGCCAGCTCGCCAGCGAGCAGCAGACGCGGTCAATTGCGTCAACTGCACCGCCTCCGCGCTCGACTCGCGCCGGCTCGCCCCCCTCGACCTCGGGCGGCCGACCCTGCGCCCCCCTCCAACGGGCAGCGCGGGCACGGTGGCGGCACGCACTCCGACGAACTGCACTTTCTGGAGAATCCACGATCACCGCCTCGCCGGCGGAAAAGTTGAAGCCACCGCAGACAGTCGCCAGGCGCTTGCCGGGGGACTCGGCCAACTTGACATCCTGGGGGGCGTCGGGCGACGCGCGCGAGATCTCCTGCGCAGTCAGGTCACGGCTATGCGCATTGAAGACTGCGAAGGCGGAATTGGGAGAAGACAAAGAAAAACGACGAACACGGCCAGGTACGAGAGTCACACTGCCCACGCGAACAAAGCCACCAGCTCCCGCGGCCAATCGCGAAGCAAAATTGCCGCCCCCCCCCTTGATGCGCCCAGCACGGCCTTCGCCAAACAAGCTTGACACCAGCGCGGCGCCGGGAGTAATCGCGCGAGGAAAAGCTCGAAGTCGCCGTTCATCTTGGCGGACTTCTTGGAGGGAGATGATCGTCTGCTTCGGGCAAACGCGGGCCAGGCAATACCTCTTCAGGCAAGCTTGATCCCTGGCCACCTGCGACAAGGCACGAGCATTCCACGTTGCAAAACGGAGGAGCCCAGGTTTGCCACCTGGGCGAGGACGGGAGTGGTCGAAGAGAGAAGTAGCGCTGAATACACCAAGCGGGCGCCTTGGGAGCAGCCGCGACGTCGGCGGCGGCGAGCTGGAGCTCGCCCTCGGAGATCCCATGCTTGCGCGGGGCCCCCTCGTTGCACATGAGCGTGGGCGGCGATTCACGACCAGGGGCAACTCGCTTCTGAAGTTCCTTGCCCCATTTTATTAGAGAAGACCCCAAGTCCTTGCCCATGACAATGCGGCGGCCGTCACCAAACTTGGACACGATAGCTGCGCGGCACTTCCTGAGGTGATTTCCGTCTTGAACTGCTTCGGGCTCCAGCCGGGGCCGACGTGCACCTGCGCAGTGGCGGGGGGCCCAGGAACTTCACTGAATGAACTCTTTCAATGTGTTGCCATTTCTGACTGCCGCCAGGGCATGCTGAGCCGCCGGCTGCGGTAGGCCAGTGAACTTGACAATCAAGCGTTTCGAGGGAGCCTGTCCATCTATCTCCGCTTTGAATTCAGAGTCTCCGAAGCCGGCGGAGCGAAGGCACTCGGCAACGCACTTTGAGATAACATCGAGGGAAATAAGACGCTGGGCGAAGGCCACAAGGACGGCGGGGCCGATCTCGCGGTCAAATCCAGCAGGGGAAGGAGCACCGCACCCACGGGTTGACGCTCCTCAAACACAGCGAGGACCTTCCTGAGGCCCTCCATCTCGCGGCGGAACTTCACAACCTCAGAATCGGTCGAATCTAGCCTCTTATCGAGCCGTCCCATGTGAGCTGGGTGCTCATCGAACTGAGCTTGCAAACGGCGGTGGAGGGCATTGATTTTGGGACGGACGGTTTGCTGCACCTGTTGATCGATATCCTCGGCTTGCCCCACAACCTTTTTCCTGAACGAATCAATGGCTGACACTAGGGTATGATGGTTGTTGGCCACCGTGGCACACACGGAGGATCTGATGTCGGCAATGAGGGTCTCTCGCATGCCAGCGAACTGGGCTTGGCACAGATCACAGAGGAAGTCGGGTGAGTAGTTTTTCGGTACCATCCATGTCAGCATCATGAGCATCAGCGGGAACACGACGCTTGCGAACCAACCCGCCTTTGCCTTTACCAGGCCCCGCCTTTGCCGTGCGCACCTCCTGTGATGGGAACGTGGGGGCATCTTCGAAGGCAGATGCCACGTCTCGTATCTCCTGGGAGCCCATGAGATCAGCCTGCGTCATTCGAAAAGAGAGATACTGGGAGCGGGCTGCCAGAAGCCCATAGGGTGCTGACACAAGGGGGCGAAGGACTGCCGGCTGACCAGCCCTCGCACTGGCCGCGGATTAACGGCACCCGTGTGGTCCGCAGAGGAACCCATAATCTTGAGCCAAAATGGCTACGGTGGGGGGAAGGGGAAGAGGAGAAGAAGGCGACGCGGGGACTGTCTGGAAGGCGATTCTTTATGTTCGGAGATGACGGGCGTCATGGGGGGGGGGAGGGCGGGGGGGGGGGTATGACTTGACGCCCCCCCCCGCCGTGTGGCTCCGGCACCACAGCCGCGCCCGCGCGCACGACGCGACGAGCGACGAGCGACGAGCGACGACGACGACGCGAGCAGCATGTAAGTGGCGATCTGCCCATTGCGCCTGTGTACACCACAACGCTCGCGCAACGTGCACCACACCGCGCGCGTGCGCCATAGCGCCTGCGTACACCGCAAAGGCCGTGTGCAACGCACCGCCCGTGTATACCACAATACTTGGGAGCAGTACGGCGCCAGTGTACATACACCGCAGCAGCCATGTGCAACACAACGCTTGTGTACACCATAGTGCTCGCGTGCACCGCAGCGCCTGTGCACGCAACAGCGCCTGTCTACACCACAGCATGCGCGTGCAACGCAGCGCCGGTGTACACCACAGTGCCTGCGTGCATAGGACAGGTAGAAGGAGCATGTACGTCAGGATGTGATGCGGGCAACTACACGCCACGCCAGGAATGTTCTGAGAATCGAATGCGACGTTTTTCCCTCCTCCCTCCTCCTCCACCTCCTCCTCCTCCTCGTCTTCCTTTTCCTCCTTCTTACCCCCTGTCGTGCGGCTTCCGCGTTACAACGCACGTGCGCATGTCAGCGTGCACCGCAGAATGGTCGATTGAATCGGTCCACTTGGTTCTCGGACGGCCAGTTTAGCTGGAGCCCCCTGGACGAGTTAGGGTGATGCGGGCAGACTCGGGGAACACTCGTAGATTCCAGCGGCGCTCCTTTGTCCATGAGGATTTGTTCTCCATTGTTTTCTCTGGAGTCCACACGCGCTCCATTTTGTCACAAGGATTCCTTCTGAAATTCTATACACAACAATGGTGCTGTGTTGTACACGGCTGATGTGGTGCACACAAGCGCCGTGGCGTACACAGGCACTGCAATGCACGCAGGCATTGTGGTGTACACTGGTGCTGTGTTGCGCACGGCCGATGTGGTGTACAGAGGCGCTGTGGTGTACACAAGAGCTGATGTGCCCGCAGGCACGGTGGCACAAACTGACGCTGTGTTGCACGCGGCTGCTGTGGTGTACATCGGCGGCGTGGTGTACACAGGCGCTGTGGTGCACGCGGGCACTGTGATGTACACTGGCGTTGTGGTGCATATCGCCACCTACATGTTCGTGCTACCCGTCTTCCGTCATTCCTCACCATTCCCAAACGCCGCCGGCGCGAAACGTGACGTCATCGACCCCCTCCCCCCCCAGATGATTGCCGTCATCGGCCCGGACTTACAAACAGGCTCCAGCCGCGTCCGCGCGCACGACGACGATGAGCGACGAGCGACGAACCACGAGCGACGACGACGGACGACGAACGACGACGACGACGACGACGACGACGACGACGACGACGACGACGACGACGACGACGACGACGACGCCTGCGGACCAGACACCTATGCGGATTCCTACGCGGACACCTACGCGGATCCCAATGCGCACGGCGGCAGTGACCGGAGCGCACTGGGGGGGGTGGCGTTACGTCATAGGGGGGGGGGGGGGGCGGGGGCCATGACGCCCGTCATGCCCCAAGCAATAAAGAAATGGCCTCCTGTTCAAAACGAGGACCCAACACCCATGGTTCGGAAAAAAACATATGCGAGCCCCAAGAAGGCATTTCAAGTGAAATTATCCCGCCGGACCCAACCAAATGCAATTGTGAGTACGCGGTGTGTGAAGGGCCACGAACCGTAAAAAGGGTGAGCCAAAATGAACGTCGGGCGCATGCGCACCTGCGGCATTCGGTGGAGCTCCCTATGGGGCCACGAACCGCATGCGGGGTGTGCCAACTTGGGCGTCGGGAGCATGCCCCCGGCCACCGCGTGCAGGGGGGGGGGCGGACAACCGGCTCCACAGCCCCTAGCCACGGCGGCATCAATCCTCTCGCGCGCCTACGCAGCTTCGCCTCGCCCGCACGCACGACGCGCACACAAAACCGATACCGATTTCTCGGCGGGAGGCTCTCCGGTCTACTGCGATCTCACCCACCCAAACTCCGATATAAGCAATGCAACGGAACGCAGATAAAGCAGGGGAAAACAATGTTCAGCAAAGCAGAGCAGTGAAAAGCAACGAAAAGCATTGCAAAATAACGTAAGCCTAGGCTGTGATGGGGTGGTGCCGTCGACCACATAGCCGCGAGACCATTGCGCAGGCCCAGAGCGACGGGGCGGCGACGGCGACCACATAGCCGCCAGAGCGATGGGCAGCCCCAGAAGAAGGGCGGCGAAGAGGCGTCGACGGGGCGGCGACGGCGACCACATAGCCGCCGTACCGACGGGCAGTCCCAATACAAGTAAGAACCCATAAGTGCAAGCACTGCTTGGGAAAACAAACGAGTTCAGGCCCAGGCCCTTGGCACAGGACGTAAAGTTATGCGTGATGACAGGAAGGTGTGGTTACGAGTTCGCTACGTCGCTCCATTTCGGCCACCAGTTCTGATGCACGAGCTCATCCCGGTCATGCCAATGTTGTTTCACATTGCATATGGTGGCCACGACTCTGAACTAGACGCGTTATGTTCTGGCGTTGCGGCCGCGGGCGCAGTTTCGCGGTCAAGTCGACAACACACACACAAACATACAAATACACATGTGAACACACATACACCCCCACACATACACACATATCTATATCTATGTAAAAACAATAATATAGACACACACACACACACATCCTGTCAAAATGCGCGAAAACAACGTCTGCATGCTGCATGCGCCAGCCTCTGTCCTCGAGTCGCGATCTTCGCCCATGCAGCCAGGCTCAAGCTTGCCAAAATCGCCGCACGCCCTAGATCTCCGGCTTCTCGTTTTTTGATGGGATCCCAGACACGGGCGCTCGAACCTCTCGACCCTCCCTGGGGGCCAGTGATTCACCCGGAGCTGGTTTTTGATCGCCCAGGTCCTCAGGGGCGGCCACTGGAGGGAGAAAATAGATAATGAAAAAACTTCGTCCTGTTTAGGTGTCATGAACTCGGCTTGGGATGACGAGGACGAGGTGCCGACCAGGCAGTGCAGAGGGGATCACCACTACTACGGGGGTCGTTACCTGCTCGAGGAGGGGGGCACCTCAGGACCCCCCAGACTAAACAGCCAAAATCGTCAAAACGCATCCTCGATCTTCCAGCCTTGAACCTCAGGAGGAGCTGGCAGCCCCCCTTGTGGTGACCCCCGTAGCGAGCAACTCACGGAAGCGTCCCAATGGCGCCCAATAGCGCGTCCAACAGCGCAAAATAGCACGCAAGGCGGACCCAACGCATCGCCCTCGCATAGCGCTGCTGGGCGCCATTCGGGAGCTATTCGGCGCTATTGGGCGCGGTGCGCGCGCTGCTGGGCGCTATGGGACGTTGTTCGCCGACCGACATTCGATGCAATACGAGCGGAACCTTTCGTGACTTACGATCCAAGAAGGACGAAGAACAGAGGACTCGTCATCGCTCGGACATCCATCCCTTCTTGCGATGCCGTGCGTGCTCTCTTCCGATGGATGATCCAACGTGCTCCTCGATGATCCTCGCCGAGGAAAACGCACAGGTCCGAGCGATGTCCATACACACAAATTTCTGGCGCTCCGCGCGGATTTCTTGGATCTGCGCTGGACCTCCCGCGTCAGGGTTGGCGCCGGACGCGCGCAAAGCGCCAAAAGTTTATGTGTATGGCGTTGTTTCGCAAGTTACTATCCAAGACAACGAGGAACAGAGGACGGGGTGCGGAGGACCGCAAGGCGCCTTCGCTGGCCTGGCGCGCCTCGGCTGGGGCTCTCTCCATCGGCCGCGCGCGCGCAGGGCGCGCGCGAGCGGCCGCGGGGGGCACTGCCCGCCAGGGTGCGAACCCCAGGGGTGGCGCTCGAGCACCACCAGGGAGCCACGAGCGATGAACACAGCTGGGGCATACAGTGGGAGCTCAAGAGGCCCTCCACGAGAACCCGAACCCTGAGACCCCAGGACGTCCACTGATGTTTGGCGTGGGGGCGTCGCGCTCTCCACCGCAAGACCCTCGAAGCCGAGGAAACCCAGGGCACCCTGGAGGTAAGCAGGGTCTCTTGGCATGTGTCTCCACCGTGTCCGTGCCCCGTTGATCTGGACGCCGAGGCGCGAGCCCACGGATGCGCGATCCCACGGATGCGCTCCGCGCGGGGGGCGTCCGCGCGGGGCCGCCCCTGCATCCACGGACGGGGTCGCGGCCCAGGAGTCTGGACCGCGAGGCCGTGGCTATGTTGCATCCCGCCCGGGAGGAATGTCCGTCGAAGGTCTTGAAAAACCTGGCTTTTGAATTAGCAAAACAGTTTTTGGAATGGTTTCTGAATTCAAAAACTGGTTTTTGAATTAAAAACTGGCGTTTGAATTCACAAAACTGTTTTTTTATTCAAACGCCCATCCAAAGCGCGCAGGAGTCGAGGCTGCGTGGGGTGTTTTCGGGCGGGACCTCAAGAATTTCTCTCGCCCTCGCCTCTTGCCCTTCCCTGTGGTTCCTGCCCGACGGGGTGCGGTCGCAAGATGCGGCGCTCGAGCACAGCCCGGACGGTCCGTGGAAAGGCACAATGTAAAGGTCAAAAATCCACCCCAAAAATTTCCACCTCGACACGCGAAGTCGTTCAGTAAACGCGCCCCAACAAAGGATCAAACAGAGCAAGGCTGTTTAGTAAACGCCCAGGACCGTTCAGTAAACGCCAATTGTCGGGTCCGGGTGTTGTTTCCTCCCTTGACATGGGCACATTGGAGTGGGGAACACTTGTCTGTTTGGAGTATTCGTTTCTGTTCCCTGGGCTACTCGAAGTCGATCGGAGCACGCACGCAGTCCGCACGAACGCGACAGACACCAGAATTGCACATGCACGTCGGCAACACAGGTGGCGGCGGCAAGAACACACGCACAGATCTTGCAAGGCGCATTAGATATCGTGGCCAGGTCACTCGACTGGTCCTCTCAGCTTGACTGCATGAGCAGCTTGCATTGGGACTCTGAACACTTTAATTCGCTCCTAGGGTGCACTCTGACTGGGACTTCCGAAGCGAAACCAGCCGTGGCGACGAGGGCCCTCCAGCAGGAGGCACCAGAAGGCAGAAACGATCGAGGTGCCCCTGGAGGCCGCCAATCGGGCCAGAGTACATGGGACGAGAATCGCACAATCCAACGCCTTGGTTCCGCCGTCCGCCGCCGCAGCCGACGGCCGCGCGGCACCGTGGAAGGCTCGGCGATGACTGGCCCCCGCCTACGCCGGCGCCTGCGCCTCCGCGCGCGCCTGGGCGGCCTCGCCTCCAGGCCAGCGGCGCCGCACGCCGTCGAGCTCTTCCTTCCGCAATATGTTGTCTGATGCCTCCTCGGTCGTGGAGCCCCCCGCGCCATCCTCGGCCTCGGCTCCCTCGTCCTCGCGCGCTCCGACACCCAGCTCGCGGCGCGGCGGGGGGCTCGGCGCCCGGCGCCCAGCGAGCTCACGTCGCCGACCACGCCGCCGTCGTCGCTCACGTCGATCGCGCCCTCTCCATCCAGGACTGCGCCGCGGCAGAAGCTGGGCCGCTGCAGTAAGGGTCCGACCGAAAGAAACTTCCACAAGAAACCCAACCCTGACGCTCCAGGACGTCCACCGATTTTTTGGCGTGGGAACGTCGCGATCTCCATCGCAAAAACAAATAAACCCAAGAAATCCAGGGCACCCTGGACGCAAGCGGGGAGTTTCTTGGCACGGGTTCCCTCCCGCCGCGGCCTCGTCGTGGCGGGCCCGCCCCGCGCGCCCCGCGCCTCTGCATGCGCCGCGGGGTGGCGCGGCGCCTCGGCCAGGGCGGCGGCCCCCTCGCCCAGCAGGGCGCGCGCGCCCCCCCCGGGTTCCGATCGACGCGCGGGAGGCGCCATCAGCGCGCTCGCCCCGGATAGCCTGCGCCGTGGCGGGGGCCATGGCCGCCAGGCGGAGCGCCAGCTCTCTGTCGAAGTCCGCGGGCGGCAATCCCAGCTGCACCAGCAGCACCAGCGCCTCTGCGCTCGCGAGCACAGCGGCCGCCACCGCCGTGGCCGTGGCGTGCCGGGTCGCCCCCCACATCGCCCCCCATGCTAGACCGACAGGTCGGCAGACCGTTGCCTCTCGAGTGCGAGGACCCCCCCCCCCCCCGCGCGGCACTTGGACCAAACTGGCTCGAGCCAAAATGGCGTGAGCCAACATGGCTACGGATGAAGAGAATGATGAGGATGATCCATACTCACGTTGAAGACAAGGGACGAGAAGAGGGCAGGCGGACAAGAGGCGAGAAGAGGGCAAGACGCGAAGAGGGCGAGCGGACAAGAAGCGAGACGAGAGCAGAACAGCCGTCCAACGGTGACGAGCCATGAAATCAGCCGCATTCTGGACATCGAGGCTTGCATGTCACTAATAAGATCTAAAATCGGCTGCATCTGCTGCTTCTGATTCTGTTCGTTCCGCCGATGCCTAGCATGCGCAAAGGAAGCACAGCGGGCTGCGAGAGACAAACAATAGCTCTTGCACTGCCGACTGTCGGCAGGGCGCGAAAATGCAACGGGAGGGCAACTAGCTGGGAGCTCGCGCGGGGCCGGAAGAGGTTCCCAACAGCCGACAGAGCGAAAAAGCTGCGGTTCGGGCTCTACGGCGGGCTCAGGGATCAACTCAGCGAGCTTCAGGCACCTCGGAGGTTCCTTTTCGTCATGAGGTCGGTCATCCGGAAGTTCATCAGCAAGTCCTGCAAGTAAGTCCTTACCGGCGCACGGCGTGAAGTGCTTGAGAACGGAATCGGCGACATTGAAATTCAGAAGCTTCTTGACCATGGTGTTCGAGATCAACTTCTGCTTGCGCGCCATGTGAACAGCTCCGCGGAGGTTGTCGAAATGACGCTGCATCCTGTCAGAAAGCAACGCTTGCGCACTCCTAACCGTTTCATGAATTTCGCCAGGATGAGGAGACTTCGGAGCAATAAAACGAATTGCATGCAACACATTGACCAGGAGCGACGCGTCATTCACGAAGAACTTGATGTCACCATGCACGATGGCTATCGGAGCAAGCACGCGCGAAGGCGGCGACCCACTGGCCATGCGGAGGAAGTCTGGAGTGAGCGACGAAGGGAAGCAAAACAAACAGTGCCGCAGCATTGAGCCAAAATGGCTACGGCGAGGATGATGAGGATGATGAGGATGAGGATGAGGATGAGGATGAGGATGAGGATGAGGATGAGGGTGAGGATGAGGATGAGGATGAGGATGCTGATGATGATGATGTTGATGGTTATGACGATGATGCTGACGACAAAGAAGATGATGATGGTGATGGTGATGATGCTGATGATGCTGATGATGGTGATGATGTTGATGATGATGGTGATGATACTGATGATGATGGTGATGATGACGATGGCGGTGGTAATTATGACGTTGATGAAGGCAGTGGTGATGCTGCCGAAGATACTGGTGATGATAGTGTGAATAACAATACTGCTTATGATGGTGATAATAATGATGATGGATATGAGGATGCAGATGAGGATGAGAATGATGGTGATGAGTATGGTGATGTTGATGGTGATAATGATGATGCTGATGCTGGTGGTGATGATGATGATAGTGATGGTGATGGTGAAGGTAATGATGATGATGGTGGTGATGGTGATGATGATGATGATGGTGATGGTGATGGTGATGATCATGCTAACGATGGTGGTGGTGATTGTGATGAGGGTTGTGGAGGTGATGGTGACAATGATGGTGACGACGACGACGATGGTGATGATCGTGATGGTGATGGTGATGGGGATGGTGATGATGATCATGATGAGGATGATGATGATGGTGATGATGATGATGATGGTGATGATGATGAGGAAGAGGATGAAGGTTTCGGCCGGGCGGCTGTGGTACAGTGCCGCGCGGCCGCGCGGCAGTGGTACATTGCCCTCGCGTGGATCCCACGGCAGGGTGGGCAGCCCGCTCCGCGGGATGCCGCGCAGCACCGCGCCGCGCCGCGCCGCGCCGCGCCGCGCCGCGCCGCCGGCCACCGGCCGCGGTGTGCCGCCGAGGCTCGGGGCAGAGGATGCAGGGAGGGAGGCGGAGATGGAGGAGGAGGAGGAGGGAGGCGGAGGAGGAGGAGGAGGAGGAGGAGGAGGAGGAGGAGGAGGAGGAGGAGGAGGAGGAGGGGGAGGGAGACGGAGGATGAGGGAGGCGGAGGATGAGGGAGGCAGAGGAGGAGGAGGAGGAGGGAGGCGGGAAAGGAGGAGGAGGGAGAGGAGAAGGAGGAAGAGGAGGAGGAGGAGGAGGAGTCCACGTGCCTTCAATTGTATACACTTCTTCTCGGTCTGTGCGTGCCATCCCTGCGCAGGGGCCGTTCCAACTCCAACGGAGGATCCCCGAGGGGAATCCGAGGAGGAGGAGGTATCAGAGGCGACGGCAGGGGCGAATAGCCCAGGGGGGGAATACATGTATCCAGGTGCGCCGATGGCCCATGCCCTCGGTGAGGCTCCCGGAGGCATACATGCAATGTTGGCCCCTGGGCTCGTCGCACCTACCGTGGCCTCTGAGAGGAGGAGGAGGACGAGGAGGAGGAGGAGGACGAGGAGGAGGAAGAGGAGGAGGAGGAGGAGGAGGAGCGCACATGCCTTCAAGTGTATGCACATCTCGATGTGTACGTGCCATCCTTGCGCAGGGGCCATACTGGTCTTCGCTGTATCGTTCCAACGTTGACGGATGATCTCCGAAACGAATCCAAGGAGGAGGAGGAGGAGGACCAGTGCAAAATCAAAACTCATCAAAGATGTTGCAATAAACCCACCCTCCACGTTCCCTCTTCGTAGGCCATCACGGAGATTTATGTCCACTGAGGGGAATACCCCCTTGGAAAACCACCGCTGGGAGGAGATACTTTTGGAAAAAGAATGGAGGAACAGGAGGAGAAGGAGGAGGAGGAGAATGGAGGAGGAGGACGAGGAGGAGAATGGAGGAAAAGGAGGAGGAGGACGAGAAAGAGGAGGAGGAGGAAGAGGAGGAGGAGGGGGCGGAGGAGAAGGATGAGGAGGAGGAGGAGGAGGAGGAGGAGAAGGAGGAGGAGGAGGAGGAGGCGAAGCCGGGTCACCCACGCGGGCGCGAGGAGGGTCGCGCGCTCGCGCCCTGCGGCCCGAACCGCAGGGGCACCCATCTCTAGAGAGGAGACGAGGCACGGGCTACGGTTGGGTCGGGCATGTCCTCCTACAGGCGGATTTTGGACGAACAAGTAAGAAGGCATGTATGTTCCAAGTGATATTCAAGCCGTTGAAAAGAAGATGGGGCAGTCCATATGTCTATATATATACACATATGTACATCTATATATACATGTCTTACAAAACCTCCCCTCCCCCCCCCCCCCCCCCAAAAAAAAAGCGTCCCATAACTATTGTTCCCTACCTAGGCTCTGCCTAGAAGGGTTCTTACTCTCTAGCTTAAAGGAGCCGGGCAGTGGAAAGCGCCCCGGGCGGTTCCCCCAGTCCCCTGGGAGCGGTTCCCCCCAGTCCCCTGGGAGCTTTAGCTTTAGCTTTAGCTTGAGTTTAGCTTTAGCTTAGCTTTAGCTTAGCTTTAGCTTAGCTGTAGCTTAGCTTTAGCTTAGCGTTTCGCTTAGCTTTTCGCTTAGCGTTTAGCTTAGCTTTAGCTTAGCTTTAGCTTAGCTTTAGCTTAGATGTTGCTCAACTTTAGCTTAGATTTAGCTTAGCTGTAGCTTAGCTTCAGCTTAGCTTTAGCTTAGCGTTTCGCTTAGCTTTTCGCTTAGCGTTTAGCTTAGCTGTAGCTTATAGTTAGCTTAGCTGTTGCTCAGCTTTAGCTTAGCTTTAGCTTAGATTTAGCTTAGCTTTAGCTTAGCTTTAGCTTAGCTCTAGCTTAGCTGTGGCTTAGCTTTAGCTTAGCTTTAGCTTAGCTTTAGCTTAGCGTTACTGTTACTACTAATGCTGCTTTCCTAGGGGTTCCAACTCCTAGGTAGGGTCGCACTGGGATAATTTTGATTAGTTTGAATATTCCCCCTGTAGAGGGGCAGGCCCGACTCAAGGCTACGGTTTGGAACTGTTGCGTATTGCATGGCGGCGCGCACAAAGGGGGTATGGGGGAGGGGGGAAGGACTCATAGAAGGAGGCTGCTTCTTAGAAGGCGCCGGCCCTACGTCTATAAGACAAGGCCCGCGCCTTCCAGTAAGCATGGGTGCTGCTGAGAAGTGGCGGCGGCCCCGGCGACACCTCCTGCCGTGCAAAGGGATAGCGCGCCGCTCCGCTCCGCGGGGCAGGAGGCTCGGAATGGCTCGCGACCTTGTCGCTTGGATACGGGGGTCGCTTGGATACGGGGGGAAGGGTGGAGGGTTTATCCGAAGGTCTTAGGCGACCCGTCCTCCTCTTCCTCCTCCTCCTCCCTCCTCCTCCTCCTCCTCCTCCTCCTCCTCCTCCTCCTCCTCCTCCTCCTCCTCCTCCTCCTCCTCACTCCTCACTCTCACGGCGGTAGATGGGTACTCCATGCTGCCGTTGGCCCCCTCCTGCGGTCGCCGCACGGCACTGCAGGAGGGGGCCATTCCGAGAATGGGCCGATCTCTGGCGGCGGGGCCGGCGAGGTACGAAGGGGGGAGAAGCGGACGGGAACCCGAAAGAGGAGGTCGAAGGCGGACACGAACGGCGGTTCGAACGAAGGAGGGAAGGCAACGAGGATAGGGATCTGCGGGTCGACTGTCGTGCGCCCTCCCAACCCGCCCCCCCACAGTCCAGCCCCGCCCTGCTCTAACCTCATCCCACCTCACCCCCCCACCTGTCCTGACCTGTCTAGACCTCACAGGTAGTGTTCGTCGCAGTCGTGCTCAATAGAAGGGGCACTTGAAATCGGAATAGATGAGGCAGGAGGAGTCGGAAAAGAAGTTGTGCTCATGACCGACGGAGGTGGATGTCGATGGAGTAGGTGATTGTTCGGGGTCGGAGGTGTGTAGTCTTTGATGGCTGGTGATGGAGTGGGTCGTGGTACCTGTGGTCGGCGTCGGGCGCGTTGGCACCTCGTGCTGCTTCGCACAGTGGCGAGGATGGCCATCGCCAGTGGTTAGGG